ATTTATTAATTTTCACAATTTTTATTATAAATTTATAGTTCCAAGAATTTATGGTAACACTGCAAATAATAATTTATACGTTTCTATAACTTTGTTCAATAGAAAACTACGTTTCCATGTTCTCATTACTTACTCCTGATTAAATTAATTTCGTAAGAATTAAAAATTAGACTGACTCATGGTCATCGATTGAAAGTAACCTTAGCGAAGGTATTTATTATGTTAAATAATGTTTTATACGCGTCAGAAGTTTGTTTAACATTTATTTGTTATTATACCATGAAATAATTTCTATCTGAAATTTTCTCTAATTTATGTCTTCGAATTTAGTATGATTGTTTACTTCTTTCTTACTCGAATTCCGCATTGAAGGAGTTACAGTTTCTCCGAATTTTTGAAATTATATAGTGTCTTCTTAAAATTCATAAATAATCGTACATTTTTCATCCTACTTACTTAATTTTTTCGAATTTAGTTAGATTATTTACTTCTTTCTTACTCCACTCAGTTGACCTGAATTTTTGAAATTATATCGTGTCTCTTTAAAATTAATAAACAATTACACACTCTCCACCTTAATACTTATTCATTTTTTTCAAATTTAGTATTATCATTTCCTTCTTTCTTTCTCTACTCAGTTGACCTGAATGTTTGAAATTGTATCGTGTCTCTTTAAAATTAATAAACAATTACACACTCTCCATCTTACTACTTATTCCCTTTTTTCAAATTTAGTATTACCATTTCCTTCTTTCTCTACAAAATTTTTTCAAATTTTTACTCACAAGTTCCAATCCATTTTTTATATTATTCCCGATACTCTTCCATAAAATGTCACAGTACCGTACACCGCGAGTCATACGCTCGATAGAACTGAAATACCTGGAGCACTATTTTATGTACTCAGAGTAAAACTATCGCGAGTTGCTCTCGAGAGTATCTCTCGCGAGTGGACACTGCGTCTGAGAGTGACTGTCTGAGAGTATCGCTCAACTTTCTGAGAGTTACAAATCGAATAAACAGTTGCTTTGCAAACACAAAGCAGTTTCGTATTCTTGACAGAACTCTCGTGCGAGTAAAAAAAGTCCCGAAAATAATTAGTGGAGAAATGAAATCACCGGATACACAGTTAAGAAATACAAATTCTGTCAGAGTTTTACTTTTTTATTGTATCCCCGTCATGACGATTATTTTATTATATTTACGATAGTTTATTATAACTTTTATCACTTCTAGAATAAATAATTATTGGTTTCTGATTGCTTAGAATATAAGCATTGTGTCATCAAAGAATTCCTTCTTTCGATTAATTTGTCATTAATTATTTTTCATTATTTTTGGTTTTTATTAAACTCTAATGTACAACAATCTTTGTAATTAATACTCAATATGAGTTTCTAAGTGGTTAATTTACGAACAGACCATCGTCTGAAGAAAACGAGACGGAATATAAGTATGGTCATGCTCTTACCTTGAACCGCATTTTTCATAACTTTCCCATCATTTCCGGGAAAAATGGCAATTACAATTTTTCTTCCTTAGGGTGCGTAAAATCATGCTGTAAAAAAATTTTTCGTTCCGGCCGTATGCCAAAATTGGCCTCTTTTTAACATCCTCCTTTCGCCCAACCATGTCTCATACTACAGCTTATACTTTAAAGAAGAAACTCCATAGTACCGCGTGCAGACAGAACTAAAAATGCATCGAAATTTCCTAGTGCGAATCTAATAAGCTCTATTGGTGTGCTCTAAAAAATTTCTTTTATTCACCACATGCTGACGAGAAATGCGGCCGCGCGAGTTAATGATGGAACACGGCACACAGGACTGATGTCACTTGCATCGCTTGCGAAATCGCGTTTCGTCCATTGTACCACCGTATGTGCCACTTATGGCAGCAGAAAAAAATGTTCTCCATGATAAAATCAGACCGTTCTGATGATGATCACGAGCGACCAAAGGAAGTAACCTAATTTTTTAACGGGCAAACAGGAAATAATAATATTTACTTACGAGAAAATAATAACGGAAGTGCAAAGAGGGAGAGAAAATATTTATTTACGAGAAAATGTCAACGAAAGTGATAGGGAGAGTAATAATAATTCGTCCATTGTACGCATTCGTGAACTCACGATAACGAAAAAAGCTGCTGCTGTGTGTTTCCAGGGCAAACAACGTGTAATGGTGGCTTGGGTCGAGTCGTTTACGAGAGACTTCCGGATCAACAGCTTCAGGGTTTCGACGACGATGTGGTATAAAATGTTTCATGAAATGTTTACCTATCTCTCTGGCTCGCGTGGACGGTTTTCAAATATTCAGTCTAGCTCGTAATGAAAGCTTAAAACACGGTTCCCTGACGATAAACCGCGAAATTTGATAAAGAAATATAGCACTGGGTGATCGAATCGTTGCAATTGGAGCAGTTTCGTTATGAAAAAAGTTTCACAATAAGAAAAATTTTCTAGAGAATTGTTACAGTTGAAATATTCACTTTTCGTAAATTAAATTGTTTTCTGCCCTTTTTAAATTGCTAAACACGGAATTAGCTGTTCTGTGTTTTAATACTTTGTCGCATAAAACGGGATGGAATTTTATTCCTAATTCATATTGAAAATTCTTGAAATATTGAATTAAAACTGAAAAGTTCCATACCACGACGTTGAAAGAGGCAAATTTTCAGAAACTGAAGTAATAATACCACAACGTTGCAAGTACCATAATTGCTACTGATATTAAAGCGATCCGAGCATTCCACAAGGGGAGAAAACATTTCAAAAAGTAGTAAAAACAGTTTTAAACCAATAAATGCTCAAAATTCTCATTTCTACATTTCATTCGTACATATACACCATGTTCTTAAGAGATAAACGCATGATAGTTAAGTACAACATGTCTCTTCGTTTTTCGTTTCTCCTGAAAATTTTACTTTTAGGTACTTAAAACGTTGTGGTTTGGAACACTTCATTATAAGACTGAAAGTTCACTAAAATGAGATTAGTTAAAATAAAGGATGGAATATAGATAATGTGATTAATACACATCTAGGGTAACTCACCGAAAACTAGAACCTTCGAAACTATCTATTATATCAAAAAATATTTCCAACAAAAATTAAATGGTGTCAAAGAGGACATAATTTAATGTAATTAGTCTTTTTTTTGGATGGACGCATAGAGGAAATATGAAGGTCAAATTTCTTTTCTTATATAGGATTGTATATTTTTTAACACTAAAACTACCGAGCGAGTCAAAATGACCCATTAGCATCTTTCGAAAAAACGTGAATGTTCTATATTGGTTAGTATTATCGCCTGTAACTTTCCGAATTTATATTCTACACGTATGCTTCCGTTTGTATCGGTATGAATCGAATTTTCCAATCATGGTTTACTTACATAAAAATTCACTTTTGGAAAGTCGCTAATGGGTCACTTTGACCCGGTCGGTAGTTTCAGTGTTAATACATTAACCGATTCAGCTTATGATTCTTTATGTTCAAAAAAGTATTAAACTAATTATGCCAAAAAACTATTAGTTTAAGAGATATTTTCATTTCAACTTTGCGAAGTGGTTCTGCTACACTTACCTGTATCTACGTTTTTCTTAAAGGCACGCAATGTTTTCTTCTACAAAATAATACAGGATGCGATCGAATGCATTTATATCATAGTATGTGCGATTCTAATATATTGACCTTCGGCGTGGTTACCAACGGAATTTACATCGAAGCATTAGAACGTCGAAGATTGTCATTTTTATTGGGAATGGTGAGCTGAATCAATTAATACTTTAAAAAATATACGGTTCCATTAAAAAAAAAAAAAAAACAAATTTGACGTTTATATCTCCTCTACGCGTTCACTTATGGGAAAACTAATCACATCAAATTATGTGTCTTTTTGAAACCGTTCAACTTTTGTCTGAAACATTTTTCGATATACGTAATAGACAGTTTCGAAGATATTTCAGATTCTAGCCTTAGGTGATTCATCCCGTATAATATGCAGGGTTTCTCATTTTAATTCATCCACGCAATTATCTCCCGAACTATCCATTATTCGAAAAAATGTTTCAAATAGAACTTGTTCTTTTTCTGGAGGATCGTCTTATGATAAACAAAAATTTTACCTAGGTAAAAGTACCTTCGAGATCTCAAGATGACCTTTGTCTTTTTTAATGGAACTGTATGTTTTCGTTTAACAGAGGATGATGATGATCAATCTAATGAGTTTTACTAACGACGTCATTTCAAAATTTATTCTTATTTTTTATAACTTTCCCATCATCTCCAGGGTAAATGAGTATACATTTCGGATTCCTTAAAACCTGTAGAATCATGTCCTGTAAGAAATTTTCGTTGCCAGCCAGGTCCAAAATTGGCCAATTTCTACCATTGTCCTTTGTCATAAACGTGTAGTGCGTCTTATCGACAATGAATTCGTCTCAGTATGGGCTAAACGAAAACATGTAGTTCTATTTAAAAAAAAACAAAAATCACCTTGAGATCTCGGAGGCACCTTTACCTATTTAGACGAAATTTGTGTTCATCACAAGACCCCAAAACAGAACAAGTAGGGGGAGTTCCCTTAACGCCAGACGGCACCTAATGTCAGACATTCATCTGTAATAATTGAAACGCTACCGAGCCGTTATTCTGCGGATCTCGTAGAGGAGACAAAAGGAATAAAAATAAGTTTTCTACGCGTTTCAGTCGTGGTGCACAGGTAGAGAGATTTATTTAAGAAAAACCTTAAGTCCGGCGCTAGGAGAACTCCTCCTACTATTTGAAACATTTTTTCAAATAACGAATAGTGAGGGAGATAATTGCATGGATGGATTAAAATGATGTACCCTGTATAATAAATAATAATTGCAACATAATTATTAAAAGCAATAATTAAAAAAAAAATATTCAACGGATTTTTCTTTTCAACTTCTTAAATTAATTCTGTACTCTTAGAAAAACAGTAATTTTAATACTCTAATAAAAATTGCCATCGCCATTGTTTTTCATTAACTCTAGGTACGAGACTCTGCGCCACCATTTAGAGTCTTAGAAAAATGTCAGGAATTATGTCTGCGTGATAGGACAGCGACGAACAATTTAGTCCGCGCTTGCACGAGCTTCGATTTCCAACCTGGCAGCAGAATAGCGTCTTTCAGCGGGGCTGCTGAATACGAAGAAAGTACTTGCTACTTAACTAGAGAACAAGCTCAACCAGAGGGAATCGGAAATCTAATGCTGGTGCCAAATAGTGTTCACTTTACGGAAGTTTGTCTTGGCTGTGAGTCTATTTCCTTGATCATTATCCTTAAATGCTGTAACATCTTCACCATTTAGATCTTTCGATTACTTCTTACTAGCTTAAACTACTCGGTGTTGCCGTTGCCATTTGTGGAAAAGTGAAAATCAAACAATAACATATTGAAAATTAATTTTTAGTGATATATAATTTAGAAATTCATATAGTGTACCACTAAATTAAAATTGCATATCAAGTAACTGAATGGTTGTTATTGCAGCAAATATTTTCAAATTAACTGGTGCCTTTGTTAATTATTACGCAATGCTTACTTACATATACCTTGTTATTGTTACATACACTTGTATAATAATGTACTAAATTGAACATTTACTTATATAATAATGCACTATACTGAAATTATTACAAAGTGTGAAGGGGATGAAACCAGGTGGAGAGGAAGGAATGTCCATATTTCATGGTAGCCTACACAGAGTGTCCAATTTTTTCCCGATCAAACTTTGTCAATACCTTCTACGGGTACAGGTAAGAAACAGATGTTGTATAAACATAGGTCGTTTGAAGCTTTGCTAAAAAGTTACAACAAATTACATTCAACACTTTCAACGACCTCAGATCGTCAACACAGCTCGCATAAAAAGACTAGATGCACATAATGCTGATCTATTCCTATTTTGTATCATAACAACTGCATATCCGTTCACGTTCCCTTCGAATTTCGTATTATTGTTGTAACTTTTTAATAAAGCTTAAGACTACCTAATGTTTATATAACATCTTTCTCTTACTTATACCTATAGAACATACTGACAAAGCTTGATCGGAAAAAATTGAGGCATCCTGTATTTTGTACAGGGTTCTAGAGAGAAACTATCCAAAAATCGATCAAAGGGTTTACGATTTAATAGGAAACATACAGACAAGCATTCTATTCCATATTTCTATCATATTCAATTGATCATAATTGATCATTTAACATTTCCTTCATTTTTCACTTAAAAAATTAAATTTGATATTTATTTTCTCATAATATAAGATAAAATCAAATTTTTGCATTTCTTTATTTTCATATTTTTGTATGAAGCTGATAGGATAGAACGGGAATGCCCTAATCGCCGTTACGTGTACGAGAGACACCCTAGGAAGAAACTAAAGCTCCCGTTGACGGATATTAAGGAAGTTAGTGCGGCGAATAGAACAGATTGCGAAGATAGGTACTAAAAAATCTTCGTTAAATATAATAAGTTTAATATTTAATGAATTACGTGCAAATGTATTATGTTTTTCGTATTTTAAAGATGTCTGAACGAGTTCAGTTTTATTTGTCGATCTGTTACGTACGACACAGCTCTGAGAAGCTGCGCTCTGAGTCGTTTCACGAGACGAACACATCCTGAATTACTGGAAGACGATCCAAATTCTGATTATCTCGAAAACACCTGTCTCAATGGTACTTCCTATTAATTTGTTTAATTTAAAAAAAAAACATGTTAGCTTTCAATTAAAAATCTGACGAATTTATCTAAAAAGAAGAATTGAAATTTGAAGGATATTATTTTAAGAAAATATATTATTTGACTGAATTTTTACTAATTTCTTTTACTGAAATCAACTACATTTCTTATTTCCATAGCCGAACGTCGATGTGACGGATTAGCGGTGTTTGTTAAAGAAGAAAACAAGCGTCTTCGGGGACCATTTGAAGTCGACATTTACACAAACCTTACTTTAGACGAGTGTCAAGCCCTTTGCCTCAGAGCAGAGAAATATTTCTGTCGAAGTGTCGAATTTGACGAACAGACGAGACAGTGTGTCATCTCTGAAGAAGACTCTGTTTCTCAAAAAGATGATATCGGTATCAGTAGCAGCCCCAGCCACCACTTTTACGATTTAGTTTGTTTGGACAATCGTGAGTATAAAATATTACCAATGACTTAATATTTCATGATATACCAAATATTATATACTTCTAATCACTCCTGGTTAAAATTTGTTTAAATATATCGGTGTCGAATTTTTCCCGCTAATTCAAAATTAATATTGCAGCCATTATTAATGTTTCTTTAAAATATAAAAAGGAAGTTTTTAACAACGTCTTTCGTAACTGAGTTACTTTTTTTTAATACATTGTTTATCTACCGATCATTATGTCTGTAATGGATACTAAATTGAGATATGATTGTTCGAGTACTTCAGTGGAACACACAGTGAGGAGCATAACTGATCAACAGCACTATCTCTGATTAACGAAATTATTGTTTATTGCCGTATAAAATAGATATTAATAAAAAAAATTAGTTAACATATTTTGGTAATTTAGGCATGCCTAAAGACGAATGTGGCACACCTAAATGCTGCAAGCCTAATCGTTAACGCATTAGGTCCTAATTCGGAAGGAATGATGCATGCCTAAGTTGGGCATTCCCAACAGTTGCCATACGCGGCCCAAATGGTGGTGGTCGAGCGCACGCTTAGGTTGGGCATTCCTAACAGTTGCCATACGTGGCCCAAATGGGGGTGGCCGAGCGCACACCTAAATTAGGTGGAGTGGGGCTCTCAAACTTATATGTAGGAATATTTACAGACATCTCAGTGTCGGACATACGCTTGCGTGAGAGCTTTCAACAAGATAAAAGTTTTTACAATTTAATCCATACAGTGTCTTGATGAGGTATTCCTCGTGAGATTTCATTAATGTCTCCCAATGATAGCCTAATAAAGCTATTCTAATATGGGCCTAATGCGGTTGGCCTCATTGGGAAAGCCTAATGCAGCTCTAATACGGCTTTCCCAATTAGGCGGTCGTGAATAGTCTGCGTTACATACCGTATGCGGGCCTAACAGGCAAATTAGGCTAGCCTAATGCGGACCTAATGTCTGCCTAACTGAAATTTCTAGTCGGGTATTTATCTATAATAACAAAAATTGAAGGACTCGGTAAGACTCAATCATAAAAATCCTGTCTTCGTTTCCTTAATAATTTCCACAAATCCTCGTCAGGGTTTAAATCAGGATTTTTAGCCGGTTAAGGACAGAAAATTTTTGCGTATTGATAAACCGTGCACACTTTTAGCAGTGTTTTGGATATTGATCATGATGAAAGGTAATACCTTCTTCAATTATTGGCATATTCTCAATATTTCTGTACATATACTCATTCACAGTACCTTCAATCCGATACAATGTATCTATATCAAATGCTGTCATACATCCCCACAACACGATAGAGCCACCTCCGTATTTAACTATGTGTTTTGCATGACGTGACTGAAGACGTTCTCCTTTACGAATCCAATACTAGGAACGTTCATATAATGAAATTTTATTAGTTTTTGCTTCTTCCGACCAAGTGAATCTTTTCCTCTGTAAAAGTAGTCTAATTTTTATATTTCCTTGCAAAAGCTATGCGAGCTTTAATATTCTTTTTCGAGAGTATAGCGTTACTGTTTCACCACTTGTGATATAATAAACAATGCTTCGTTTATCTCGACCTGTTGATACTTTCAGACGTCTACTAGCTGCAGTTAACATGTCCTTACAATGCTTTTTCCACAAACGTTGAACAGTTAATTAGTATACAAAATATTTTTCAGAAATCTAACGGATTGATAAATCATGTTGTAAAAGAGAAACAATTTTATTGGTAATAACATGAGAAAGCGACTTTATTCTACGATACATACTGCTAGTTTCCTCGTTTTCAACTCAATCGGCACTTAACAAACCGACTGCTATGGTCAGTAATAAATAAGTACCGTGACTGTGGAAACAAAACACGGTAACAGTCTAAAAATATTTTGCCTGTTTTACAATGTTAGTATAACATTTCAACTCTGGTGCAAAACTGAGTTTTTCAATTTTTTCATTATACATTAATAAATAACCATTGTGAATATACGAAAGCGTTCAAAAGTACTATGACCACTAGTAATATATCATTGAAACTTCTTTTTTTAGTTACTCGTCATTTGCGACGATTAGATAATGATTTCTGTGAAATGTCTGATTATTGATTTAGCTATACTCCTTACTGTATATGTCCCCCTGATTACGAAAAGGTTAACATCCCAGAGTCTGAATGACGGTGAAACGATCTATCGGTGCTTGACAATATTTTACCAATACCAACTTACCAAGCGTAGATCCGTCCGTAGCACGTGGCTCTGAATATCCAGACAGCAGTTCGACGTCGCACCTTTTCTCCGATGGACGACGACCCGACACCGCGTTCCAGCGTTATCGAAACTCACGTCTCAGCGGTGAATTTCACTCCGAGATAACCGGACGCAGCCTGAGCGAATGTCTTGACGAGTGTCTTCGACAGACCAGCTTCCAATGTCGGAGCGCCGTCTACTCCGAACATTATCACACCTGTCGATTAAGTCGATTCAATCAGCGTGACGGGCATCGAATTATCTACGATGCGGATTACGATTATTACGAGAATCTTATGCGTGAGTGTTGAACACTTCCAACTCCATGCTTCTAACTTTCATATTTTTAATTAATTACAGTCAATTGGAAATTTTTCAATATCGTGACATTTATGTAGCTTGTTCAAATTTATCTTTAGAAAGGATTTCAATTTTTGAGAAAGTTATACGTAGCGTTTAATTGAAGGAATTATGGTACTTCTAATCGTGGAAAGTTATTATTTGAGTACCCTTTTTTTTTTGCAATGCTGAGATGAAATTTTATGAATAGATCAATACTTAGATGGAGACCGAGATAATCCAGGATACAGACCGGATCCTCTGGGGCAGGATACGAATTTTGGCAGGCCATCCTTAGGAAGACCTGGTAAACAAGACAAATAATTCAGTTCTCTCTATTTAAAAATTCTTAAAGCATGACAACATGAGACTTAATCTACTAACAGTTGCTTTTAAGAATTAATAACAAATATACAGAGTAAGGCAGGACGCATGGTACAACCGAGCAGAGGATGATTCTACGTGTAAAAGTAAACCGAAAATGAAGAATAAAATTATATCATTTCATCGAGATAATTAAATTTGAATATCCTTCGAGTACGCGTGCACTTGACTATATCTCCGGGCTTCATGCTCGTACCAATAAGCAGTGCCAATGTCACGATATAAACGTTTATTAACGATTTTACTACTTTACATGTGCATTACTGGATGAACTGTTGAAAATGACGTCCTTATTGAAAGTTGCCCTTGCTTCAATTGTTCGAAAGCCTGTATAATTCTTCCTTTAAATTGCAGAAAATGTACACTACTTCTTTGCGAACTGTGACGTTACCGCTATTTACCAACAAAAAAGTATGAGCAAATGCAACAGTTTGTAGGCAATATTTAAATTTTTTTCTCGAAAACTAAGCTTCTTATGTAAAAACTGTATTCTTTATTTTTGGTTTATGTTTAAATGTAGAATCACCTCCTGCTCGACTGTACCCCGCGTCTTACTTCATCCTGTATATAGAGGGTCTCCAGTGAGATATTCAACAAACTTTGTCTACAACGTAGGCATGTAGAGTCTTCAACAGGTGATTCTGAACAAAAGATGTCACGCACAGTGTAGGACTTTTATGCTTAATATATTATTATCGATATAATTGACTAAAGAAACGAAACTGATGTATACTACACGTGACATTTTTTTGTCTAGGATCATCTGTTGAACATGAGAGCGGACTTCGTTCAATACCTCACCGGACACACTCTATATGTATACACTGCGGTTCATAAGTATCAGGACACTCGTTATGTTCGTATAAAAAGTGTATGATTTAAATTGCATATTATTCTTCGTCCAATTTAGTACCACATATCAGCAACAATTTTATATTACGAGATTCTAGGAGGAATAATTTTTTTGAAGTCTCGACAATTTTGTAGTAATTGTTTAGACAGTCGTTACAAAATTATTAAGCCCCACCCAAAAAAAAAAGTATTTAACCTAAAATATCGTAATGCAACAAGTGCATATGTAAATACTTACATACATTTTTACTGTTGTGCGTTATTAAATCTGGCAAAGTAACATAATACTTTCTGTCCAAACATGATGGGTGTCATGATACTTACGAATAGCAGTGCGTTTGTGTAATTACATCACCAGAGAATTTTAAATAATACCAAAAAGAAAACCAAAAAATTGTATCATAAATGAATTTCACGTGTACGTACAGGTTACCCAGACGATTATGACAAAGGATTCAGCAGCAGCGCGAAACCAGATCGTTATCCAGACCGTCACCCAGATCGTTTCCCAGATCGCTACCCAGATCGTTACCCAGACCGATATCCCGATAAATATCCCGATAAATATCCAGATCGTTATCCTGATCGTTATCCAGGTGATAGATATCCCGATAGGTATCCTCTAAATGGACAATACCCAATTGGAGCAGCAGGTGATACCTTTCCTGATCCTGTCGATCGATATCCCATCAGCGATCGTTATCCCACAAGTGATCGATATCCTACAAGCGATCGTTATCCTATCAGTGATCGATATCCTACAAGCGATCGTTATCCTGCCAGTGATCGTTATCCAATTGGAGATCGATTTCCATCATCAGACAGATACCCTATATCTGATCGATTCCCCATCAGAGGTGGCGATCGTCGTCCTGTTCATCCTGATCGGTATCCTATTCCCGATCCTGGAATAGACAGATATCCAACAAATAACAGATACCCTAGTGGAATTGGTAATCGATACCCGATATCTCCAAGTCGTTATCCTAGTGATAGTGACCGATATCCTAACGCCATAGACCGTTATCCTATTCCAGAGGATCCTTTGGACAGATATCCCATCAGGGATCCTTCTGGTATAGGCAGCAGCAGGCCCCACGTTGATCGGTATCCTATTAGCGAGAGGTTTCCGGAGAAGGACCTTTATCCCAATCGGTGAGTCAAAGAAAAAAAGAATTGTTGCACATTTTTTTTAAGAAAAGGTTAATCTCTCAACATCAACAGTTGAATATCGTAGGCTCAAAAAATACTCATTTCTCTGAAATTCCAAATGTTTCAATTATTACGTAGTTTCAACGAAATATAGAAAGCTTACTTATTTTTGATCACTCGTGAACTTGTAAAAATTCTTCGTTTTCAGTTTGAAATATTGCTAAGAATACAGTAGTGCACACATAAGCGTCCGCAGTCGGGACTTAAGTGAGAAGGTGACTTCAGTGAATTTAACTAAACAAAAGAGAGATGTGTCTGAGTGGGATACCGATATATCAAGTGTCAGTTGTTCACATTCAGGAGTCGAACTCCACTCCGAAGTCCCATTCCCAAGAATTGGTGGGGTTAGCGTCGGACGCTTATGTGTGAAGGCTTTACAATATTCATTATTTGGCTCATGATAGATACCCATTACCATACAAACCTTTTATTAGTAAAATAAAAATAACTGTTCTGTGTAACGATTTGCGTCACGGTAAAGGATTATTCAACCAAATTACAATTACATTATTGCATGACATAGTCCTGGGGCAAATATTACATTGTATTAAATTTTATTTAAAAACACCTTACCATTTCTACAACTTTAAACTTTAACTTTCATTAAAATACTCCATCTCCTTACAAAAGCTTAAACGTAACTTTCATCACATATCATTCTTTCTAAGTTTACACATCCCACCTCTTTACAGAACCTTCAAGACAACTTTCCCTCACAATTCCCTCCATCCTCTAATACAAAAGGTGCGGCCATAAAATATGACGATTTTCAAAGTGTCATTACGGAATGCTTAGGTTAAAGTGAAATGAAACACTTGTGCCGATAAAAATATTTAGATAATGTAATTTATCAATTATTTCATTACTTTTTGAAAATAACATTTACATAATGACAATATCAATCATGCGAATTAAAACAAAACATAACTAATGAAATTCGAGCAATCGAATTTCCCAACGTGATTGCAAAAATACAGACACTGATGAAGTGGTCGCTTGTAAAACGTTTATGTAAGAAAGTAATTGAATAGTTAATAAATTGCATTATGCAACTATATTTTTCATAAAAATGTATAATGTAGCCACAGTAATATCTCTTCGAAGATTGTCATATTCTATTGCCACACCCGTTACAAATACTCTACCTCGTTACCAAATCATCTATCGAACTTCCATTCAATTCCCCCAAGCCTGAAATACAAAATTTTTACCCAATTCTCTCTTCATTCTCAGGTACCCACCAACGTCTCACGGAGGATACCCACAAAATTACCCCGTAGACGATCTTTACAGTCCTCAATCTCACCCAGACCGAAATCACTTTGGGGCAGCAGGCCCAACCCGTCCTCTAGGCTACGGTGGTTACAGTAACGACGGTGGAATCATCGGTGGTGGTTATATAGGTGAAGGTGGAGTCTACAATTCACGACCTTTCGGTACCAGTGGTGGTCCCATCATTGGACGTCCACCTCTAGTATCGAGATGCGACGAACAAGATAACTTTCGACAAGTGGGACCTCACACAAGGGTCCGTAAACCTTTCGTCAGACGATACACGACAGCTTCTTCGTTGGCGCAGTGTGAAAGGGAGTGTGCAGACGCCAGAGACTTCGTGTGCAGATCCTTCAATTACCGTCCATACGCTGCTCCCTATGGAGCTGAGAGGGACAACTGCGAACTGAGTGACCGTGATTCCAGAGACATGGACATGGGGAACCCCTTGTACTACGACACTGGCTCAGATTATGATTTCTACGAGAGGAACAACGGAAGACAGGGTGCTGACGCAGAGTGTCTGGACGGTAAGCGACGTAATCGACCATGGATGCCAGCTACGTGGATCACGTGGAGGGACGTTTACACAGCCGGTCCATATTATAGAAGTTATTGATGCAATTGTTGAATTATTGTACAGATATTGTCGAACATTGTCATCTGGACTGAGCTTGGAGAAATAAACCGTCTATTCTTTCCGAGATCAATTTTTTTTTTACTTTTTGTTTGGTCACATCCGTTGATATATGAAAGTTGTTTTGAAAAGTTTCCGATTTATGTGTGAAGCACTATTGCTAGGTGCTTGTAACTTTTACTGTGTAATATGTAGTATCATTCCTCTGTCACTTTCTTTCTCTCTTTTATAGAGATGAACAAAAGTGGGGAACGAATTGTGTCCATCTCTGCTTCGTTAGTGAAAACACCTCTGCTTCGCCAGTTGTAAAAGAGAGTGTAAAAATGACAGAACCATGAAACTCTGTACATCAGTACAGAAATGATGACATAATATACAGTAAAAATGACAAGCATGTAGCGATACTTTTTCATACTTAAGCCACGGACTTTTAAAATAATTTTCGTAGTATTTCCTTCGATTTGAACCGAGATTTAGAGATTTTTTTTTTACGTAGGAGAGGGTCGTTTCTTGAATATTCATGCTGAAAATTGAAAGTTACACTTAGTTTCGCACTTTTCCTTTTTTTTTTCCTTTAAAGAGCGATAGTAAATTGTGTTTCTGCTCGTTCTAGTGAGTCAAGTGTGTAGCGAGGACGGGATGGAATTTACTTTAAGGACGCCCGAAGGATTCATTGGCCGGATTTACACTTACGGCTATTACGATCGCTGCTTCTTCCGGGGGAACGGGGGAACCGTGAATGTACTTCGAATCAGTGGTCCTCAGGGCTATCCCGAGTGCGGCACTCAGAGAGTAAGGAAATTGTCCCTGTTTGTTCAAACATGTCTCGACAATTTTTACAAATTCTTCGTGAAAATGTTTCCTTCGACGTACATTGATAAATTAAAATTTAGGAAGGAGAATACCGTCGCTATAAATAGTGAAAACTCTTTATGGAAATTTTTACTCCTCCAAACTTTGTTAAATTTAAATCTAGAAAGAAAATCACCGTCTCTGTTCAAGTTAACAATTCCTGACAATAGAACTTTTATTAAATGAATAACGTTTGAATAAAATGAATACAAAGGAGAATTAAAATGTCAAGAATTCAATATTAAACATATTTAACTGAAAATAAATATTTTAACGTGACTTCTCAACTTCGTTTCAAAGTTCAACTAAAATTTCTAATTCTCTCGTGAGTGTGTCGAAACTTGAGAAATTTTTCAACAAACTTTTTATGGGGTACGTTGTGAATAGTGATTATATGCAGAAAACGATTACAGTATGGCGACACAATGACGAACATCGTCGTTGTACAGTTCTCCGACTACGTGCAGACAGGAAGGGACAAACGCTTCAATCTCACCTGTCTATTTCGAGGCCCTGGCGAAGCTGTCGTCACATCCGGCTACATCGGTGCCGGGTATGCCAGGTCATATCGATTGAGAGACCGTGCCTTGCACCCGGTATATTTAATTGAATGGGTGAGAAGGAAAAAATTTCACTGAACCTTTGTCTCAGGAAATCGAAAAAATTGATTTGCAGATAAACTAACGATTAAAACGAAAAACATTCTATCGTGAAGTTATCTCTGAAAACTGTAATAAAAATTGCCAAGTAACAATTTAAAAATAATTTTAGTAAATAAGCGTCTGTATTACAAAAAGTTTCTGGAATCTTTTCCTTCTTCTTCTCATTCATTTAAAACGTTGAGTGCCGCGCAAATTTCACGTGACTTTTCATTCAGGGCCTGTAAGTCGTCGATGTATTATATGTATATCATTAATGTAACATAAGTCCTGGTGCAAGCACGCTCGACAAACTTTTTTTTTTATTGAGATTCAATTCAAATATGATTCCAAATTTGAGTATAGTTTATAACGTAATAAGGAGGCACCTTTGTATCATTTCGCCTAGAGCAAGTAAAGAAAAACAATTGGAACAGATCAAAGGTTTTCAAAAATAAATTTCACATTTATAATTTTTAAAATATGAAAAGTTTTTACATAAAGTGATAAGGTTAATGAGGTAAGATACTAAGGTGCCATTTTCCACGTCCTTAATATTCAAGAAGCGCTAATAGAAATTTTTACTAACAGACTCTGCTCTTATGTTGTGTAGATCAGGATCTCCAATCCCCATTGAATACCTTCCAGCGGAAAATACCCTAAGTTCGCGCGTACGTTTGATGATTCTGTACCAAGGTAGACCCACGACGACCATCGCAGTTGGTGATCCACTGACTTTTAGATTAGAAGCTCAGGATGGGTGTGTAACATTTTATTTTATGCTTCAGTAAGGATCTCTGAAAAATTGAAAATTTTGTACGATGACATTTTCTATAGGTACAATTACGTGACAGATATTTTTGCTACCAATGTAATAGCAAGAGATCCATACTCTGGAAGAAGTGTTCAGCTTATAGACAGATACGGGTAAGTATCGTAGGAATTATTATAGTTTTTATTTACTATTTGAATTTCATCGATCTGATTGTTTCTATTAATAACAAATCGATTGAAATTCCTTTCGTTTTATATTTTTATACACTCGTGTATTTTCCAATAAGCATTCAAACGAAACTTTAGCAAACTGGATAAAATTCTGTTTCCGTAGTGAAAATAACGGGCGTAAAAGATATTCGACCCTTGAGTTGCACATAACACAGGAATTTTGATTGATTCACTAACAACAGGAACAATCAAGGTAATGGAACTTCGCTGTTCACGTCCACAGGGTGCTTCTGGTTTTAGTGTACAAACCCCGAGAGTATATGAAGTACTCAAAATAAGAGCAAATATTATAGTTTATGGAAGCATACGTTTCTGCTAACTTGATGGTGCACAAGATTTTTAACAGTATCTAATCACACATTTTCTATTGACGGACAAAATTTGTATTTAATTTGTTTTCCTCCATTGCTAAATCGATGAATTCTGTTTCACCTGATCTATAGGATCTATCTAAAGCAATTTATTTGATTTAACTGATATATCTTGTCGCGTCGCGCTCTTTTGTGATGTTCAAAAACTCGCGTTCGCGACTGTTACCCGCCAAATTAATCTTGGATAACTGATTGGATATCTATTCTACTCGAACGTACTAGAACGTGGTCGAGCGCAAATGGTGAAGTCTCGATTTCGATTGACTCTAATGGCTGGAACGGCTGGAGAGTGTCTGTTATTCGCACAAGAGAATCTTTGATCCCCGAATTTTTCTGGAGTCCCCAGTGACTCCCCGCCAAGTGCAAGAAGGCACGCTAATTGATTTTTCACGAAAGTACAAATTACCAATCAACGTGCCCCTTGAGTGTCACCCACCCTTCCATTGCGCCCTTAGCGCGCTTTTCCTTATGACACGTCTTCGGTTATTGAGGACGCGGAAAAGTCGAAATTCTAAAGGCATTGTTCTGTAAGAAATTACTTATTTTTTCGCGGAGCTACGAAGCGTCTCTGTTCTCAAAAATAACCTTCTAGTGAGAGCTTGCCATAAACCCGGTCAACGAAGACCCCACGCGTTCATATACTTCATTTACTTGATCTACTGAATCTAGCTGTTCTACAAAATTTACTTCATTTACCTGATTTACATCATCTTCAATATCAAAGTTCACCTGATCTACCTTACTACCCTACCTTACCTGATCTGTTGTATTAATTTCTTCTAATTGTTTCATCATTTCACTGTAATTTACATTATATACCTGATTTACTCAATTCATCTAATCCACATAGTTTATCTGGTTCGTCTAATTAATCAAACCAACCTAAGCGTGCGCTCGGCCACCCCCATTTGGGCCACGTATGGCAACTGTTAGGAATGCCCAACTTAGGCATGCATCATTCCTTCCGAATTAGGACCTAATGCGGTAACGATTAGGCTTGCAGCATTTAGGTATGCCTAATCGTTTCTGCATTCGTCTTTAGTCATGCCTAACTGAAATTCCAGTCGGGTTAATTCACGCGTTTAGTCTAGTCTAACTGATAGACAATATCTACCTAGTATACACTATTTACCTTATTTACCTAACTACATTAATCTATCTAATATCTGTATAATCTACCTAACTGACCTCGTTCGTTTGAACCTCTTAATATATCTATAGAGAGTAATTCACTAAACTCGACCATCTTACATTACTCGTCAACTATTTATACGCATTGCTACTTTACTTTTTTATAAAGATATAAAGAATACGCCAGGGTTTTTAAACTTATAACACTTCTGATTACCTTGAAATCACTGACAAACATTTCATCGACAATGTTTTCATCAACGCTATTTCACTGACACCGACTTTCGTCGACAGTGTGTAATATACAAGAGATATACAAGTTTATCTCAATTCTACATTTATCAATTTATCTCGTATCAATTGATTCGAATGATAAAAAATTCTCAAAGTCGCTGACTTTTTTCTGGAAATTTTTGTGTAAATTGCAATGCTCAGTGATTCCAAACTTTTGGCCGGTAGTGTACATATTTCAGATCTACTATCTCATCCCATAATATTCACCAAATTTATATGAAATACAGCCGTATATTCTGTGGGTCTAAATAAGAAAGTTAGATATTATAGTATATATGTAGACTAAAGGTAAATATTGCTAGTATATTCCTACAGTCTATCGTAGTAACCGCAAGTTTGCTAATGTTCCCTGTGTGTTTCGTGTTTTTCTCATAACTCTTAATAATCTTTTAAACGACCTATGCTTATATATTTTCTTATTTAGACCCATAGAATATACTGACAAAGTTTCGCCCTTAAAATCTACGACACCCTATATACATATATACGAAATGTTATTATAAAATTATAATAAAATAATGAAATGTTATGTTATACTTATACTGCTACTTCATTCGTCAGTATAAGTTGTGTATATCAACGATAAAATGTCGCGGAAATGTTTGTCGGTGATTTCGAGGTAATCCGATAGAAAGAAGTATCTAAAGAAAACGATTTTTGTGATGGTGGTGCACTTTCTTCACGCAGTTGTCCGGTAGACAATTACGTGTTCCCGGGACTAGATCGTCTACGCGACGGAGACAGTCTTGAGGCGCGTTTCAACGCTTTCAAAATCCCAGAGTCCAACTTCTTAGTGTTCGAGGCAAACGTACGAACCTGTCGAGACGGGTGCCAGCCCGCCTACTGTTCAGGTGGCACAGGAAGAAGCGAACCTTCCTTTGGAAGACGACGAAGGGACGTGTCACAAAACGACACAATCGCTGAGGAAAACGAAATAAGTACTGCAACGGAAAATAATGCGAACGACACGTTCTCCGTGTCAAATTCTACGGTCCTCGAAGAGAACGATGCTATAGACGAGGAAGAAGAAGAGGAACACGTAAGGGAAATGATAGAGGTACATATCAAACCTACATAAGGTAGGTACCGAGGTAAATGGCATTGAGTTTATATCGAAAAGTCATTCCTTTCAAGAAATGGAATTTTGTAATTCGAGTTTCCTTACTTCTAAATTTTTAGCGAAGTCACTTTTATTTTCTACTTACCATACTCACTTAACTTGGCTTTGTGTGATTTATTTTATAATTTTGAGGACGCACTTTTCAAAAAATTTCTAGAAGTGCCTACAAAGAACGTTTTCAGAAGCGTAAAAGGCGTTAAAAATAATGGTGCTGGTACAGAGGATTTGGAATAATTTTTTATCAACCAAGTTTTATGACGCTAGCCCAGATATTTTTTGATCGAGTCTCCCTAACCATCTCCTTGACTGTTTTCAATATCTTTAAGCATAAAAATGGAATATTGATTTACAAAAAAAGAAGTAAAAACACAAAAACAAATGTTTCACAGTGTCCTAGAATAATTGGGATGAAAGTTACGGCAAAACAGGTAACATTGTGTAGGCGTGTGAGTATATCTTTAAACGCCACAGTCATGTTTATGTTCGCCTTAATGAATTGAACATTTATTTTATAAACTTCAATACGTGTTCAGTGATACCTTATCAAATTTTACGCCGTCAATTAAAGACACTGAATATTTGGTTTTGTTTTAAATACCAAACTAATGAACACTAAGAACAAAATAAAATTCAAATTAATGAACAAGGGAAGCAAAATATAATTCGAATTAGTAAACACGGAAAGCAAAATAAAACTCCATCGTTGAATTAATTGTTTTTATCATAGGTTTTAGACTCGAGGATGGACATTGACGAAGAAACCGTAGTTGAAAGACAAACTACTGTCATGGAGAACGTTTGCATAACACCGAACGAGTACTACGGACTTGTGACAGCAGTGGCGGTGCTGGTAGTACTTCTAGCTTCTGTAGTATTGTTATCTATGCTGATTTACAGGTACGGATTGTCGATGGCATTTGAAATTTGGACATGCGCATAAACGAGAATTAATTGATGTAAATTATCGTTTCAGAAAATACGCTTACTCGGTGATCACGAAGAATCGCAGAGTGGATAAAGCGTGCAGTCGCAACAGTCATTCTGACGATGCTTACAGCAGTCGAGCTAACAATTTCTCGTTCTTGAGAACAGGTCTTCAGAAACCGTTTCAATCCACGTACGTAATTTTCACCTGACGTCTTTCTGTCCGCCACACATATCGACTTGTTATTATTCTGAAATACACATGCTTTTTTTAAAACCAAGAGAAATTCCAAATTTATATAAACAACGATTAAAGCTTGTCTAGAATCTGTATCTTTTGATAAATGAATATGTCTCATTTTACTATCACCATCAGTGTAAATATTCGTTATAATTATTATTAAAAAATATTAATAATAGTACAACGTTGCAATTTTTATTAAAAAATATGAATAATGTTATAGTATTATAGTAAATATTGTGAACATTAAAATATATACGGTTATATGTATAATACTTTTGAAGATATTCATCAATCTAAGAAAGGACAAAGGAATATGAACTCATAGATTTGGTCTTGAATTTAATGAAAGCAGAAAATACACTACTGGCAAAATTGTCGAGCTGCATCAACTGATGCATAACCAAGTATACAATTTCATTTAAAAAAGTGGAGGTGACGTTGAAATCTCTGAGACTCCTCCAGCTGCAGAAAAATTACTACTGCCTTATTATAACCCCCTCTATACTGAACAACTTTTGCTAATCAAACTTTTTCATATCTCCAAAAACAACCGAGATATTCAAGTGCTAATTCTTATCGGACAACCCTATATACAGTACTATCGCGTTAGTTGGCCGCCGCTATCCTTACCAGTTTTTGAAACTGACTTCGTGGAGTGAGTCTCAAGCGTTACGTATCTAAACTAAATAACTTACTTACTTATTCCACTTGCACTCAATGGACAAGAAACGTACTCGGGATTTCCAGAACACTACCACCCTTTTTGATTGTTGGATAGATGTGCTCCCGAGTGGTGGCCAGCTAACGCGACAATACTGTACATGCAGAGCATATGTTACGTTACGTTTCTTGATATTTTATGTATGGTCTTACTGATTACCGTCTTGGGAATATTCCATAGGATATTACAGTTCAATCTTTTACATATCATTCTGCATAAAGCTCTACTGTACGATCTATAGATTTTGTAAAAATGGACGAATGCCTTTCAAAAATCCAATTTTAAACTGAAATGATATTGAGAAATTCAAAACTGCATCAACATAAATCGAAATTGGAAAATTTACAGTACACTTGTAATACTTAGCTTATTAATAATCAACTCTGGAATATTAAGATTAATTCTTTGTGACATGAAATAATATTTCTATTTTCTTACTAACTCTACTAATATTAAATTTACAAAAATTGCTTATTTTAAGCACAAAACAAGTTATTATAATAATATTTTTAAAGTGAAAATATGAAAAGAAAAGTACATATGAAAACAAAATCCGTTAGAGCCACGTTAGTGTTCTAGGATTAAATAAATAATTCAACAAGTGTAGATGAACTTTTCAAGGCCAGTACCTAACAAACAGCAACAAACTACGCCATTTTTCAATCATTTTTAAATTAAACTCATACTCTACGGCGGATTCCGTACACAATGGATTCATTCAAAAATACGTCCTTCATATTTGACGAATGGCTTAATGCTTTCAGCGCTTTTAGCGGGGCGCTTGATTTATTCTCTAATTTATTACCTCCAGTTGATATACATTTGTTCGATGCGCAGATCGATCTCGAGATCGATGAGCAACGTGATCGGTCAACGAGTGAGCTCATCGTCGACCGCTCTGGAGGGTGCTGTTGGATTGTCGTCCAGCAGAAGAACTGGCTTCGATCCGAGCGAACCGATATACACCGATCCATCACTGTTCGAGGTTGCTCGTTGCTCGTCGCCAAAACCAGCACTCGGTGATAACTTCCATCTGATGTGAAGGACACCAAACAGATCTCGTGGAATCTTCATCTTGAAACATACGAGATTTGATTTAAAAAAAATACTTTGACTAGCGTCATAGAACTTTGTTAATAAAAGATTCTAAAAATTTCTGAAAAACAGTTTGTAGACACTTTTAGAAATTGCTTTCAAATCAGCTTGCGAATTTTTCTTCGCCTCTAGAATCGTCTGAAAAGTGAACGTATGTCTGAACTTTTTAATGAACTCTTCAGTTTCAGAAGCAGGAAATAAGTCACACAGAGCCAAGTCGAGTGAATACGTTGGATTGGAAATAATGGTGACTGGTTTTCGTTAAAAATTGAAACTGTACTTCAATGAGTTCCATTTGAAATATTGCAAAGGCAAAGAAAACCACTGTAACCATCTGTTTTTCTCTTGACTTAAGAAATATTGAGTTGCACTTACAACCTGAGTATTTTTTTTATCAAACCTTGTATATACTCATCGTTGGTCCAAAGTTATAGACTAAAAAGCAAAAGAAATAAATAGAAATGTCGACAGATCTTTTGTAATGATATAAAAAGTTGTTATTGCACGATTTTCTGACAGAGTTGGATCTCAATGATAATTTAACAGTTATATTTTTTAATAATTTCATTTTTGAACATATAGGCTTCCTTGGTTTTATTTTTGGAAGACGTAGGCTTTCCTCTTTGTTACTCTTTTTTTTTTTAAGATTTTAAACACTGCTAGTCAAATTCATTGATCACTGCCAGCTACAACTGCTACGTCACTAAACTCTGACAAGTATACTCCCACTGGTTTGATACGAGTACAGACAGTTTATGCAAATTATTATAATGTTGAAATTGAACATGCTTCGTGTTATTGTTTGAACTGTTCTTATGTAGAGATATGACGATGCATCAATTAGTTATTTTCTTATAAAACAACGCAATATTTGTGTATAACTATACATATAGCATTGACTTCTTTATTCATCCTTCATATCAAATCTCTTTATCCAAGATTGAAATTACAATTTTTTCTGCGACCAAATGAGAAATTCTTATTAGTAAAATAATCATCTGTAATAAGTCGACGTTTTCGAAAATACAACAATTTAAAATCTACACCTCTATTTAGGGTTTAAGTTATCTTTGCAGAACGAGAGAAAAATAAACTATGAAATGTATATCCCCAGCTGCGAGAATTTGGAGAAGAAAGCTACTTGTTCGCGTGTAAACAATACTATTATGCGAATTATAAGTAACCAACCTTTTCGAGCCTCTATTTATTACGATGTTCGTTTCAATTGTAGTTAGAAGAAAATTACTAATAAACGGATACAACCATGGTCACCATGGTTCATTTATTTCTAATCTAATATAATACTTTTTTATCACCCTAAAAAGAAAAGAGAGAAAAAAGTGGACAATGCCATCGCTAGAAGTATCCAGAGTATATTCATTTTATTCTCTCCAGTCAATCTTCCTTTATCCTATCGAGCTTATAGGTAAAAAGAAGCATCCTTAGCCTAGCTTCTTCCTTCCGATAGTGAGCCTCTTCTAATTTAATCCTGGCCTCCTCTTTCAACATAGCAGCAATATCGACCTTCATCTGTGCCTCCGACAGAGCCAATACGTGCAGTTCCTCCTCTTTGTGGAGGGACCTCTTCGTTCTGCGAGGCTGGTCGTGAACAATCCGAGGGGAGATCAACGTTTGTGTTGCGTTCGTTTTGAAAATTAATCGACTCTTCTCTAAAGCATTATCCTTGTCTAATTGCTCGACCACAGGTGAGTCCATGTCCTTCACCGATTTGTTGAGACAGTCCACCTTTGTACTGTGCGACAACAAGTTCGACTCGATCTTGCTGCTGATAGAATCTGAGGTAACAAAAGAATCATCAACAATCTGTTTTTAACTTATCACAAAAAAAAAAAAAAAATGAAAAGATTCTGAAAGTTTAGTTGGAAAATGGAAAAGAAGTTGAAAGTTTTGGACGATTTCATTTGGAATATTTAGATTTCATCTAAAATTTCATTTGGTGCAAAAGTAGGAAGTGTGAAAGCTTTTGGAAAGCTTCACTTTGTAGGTAAAAAGGATAAAGCTTTTGAATATTAAACCCTATTCGTTCTTCCTGAACTCAATTCGAAGATACAGAAAGCAAAGTGGCGTCTCTTATAATAACGTAGAATAAAAGGAAAATGCAAATAAAACCTGAATCTTTGAAATTATTTTCCTCTTTCGACATCTGTTTTGAAGGCTTTAATGTGCAAACGGTTTGTAACGTGAACGGTTCTGACTCCTTCGGCTCAAACACAACATTTGGCGGTAGGCCTACAGTTCCGGTAGGTATGGGAACTTCCGGTAAAGAATTCCTGTTTTCCCAGCTTTTAGACCTTGTGCGATCTTTCGACAGTTGACAAAAACTTTTTGAAATATTTCTGAAAAATGTCGATGCCAAGATTATTTTACATAAACTCATATTTATATTTTTGTTGCAATAATTTTTTTCTCGAATTTTTGAAAATTCCTTATGAACCTTTGCGCATACTTTAACGACATTGCATTAAAAAATTAATAAATAAAATTTGGAACGATAATGACAAATGGGACACCGTGTATATAAGCACTCCAATATTCCCGCGTTTTTCAAAAACGATACAAGTGAAAAGGAAATATGGCAATTGTATTTACCGTAACTTTTTTTCTTCGCGATTTCTTTTACAGGCTTTCATGTTTTCCCAACAACGTCTTAATTGTATGGCTGAACGCATTCCCTGTGGGCCTACCGTAGAATTATATTCATTGGCAAGCTGAGACCATGCCGATTTTCTTTTATACATCGATATCGGATCGGACCTTTTATCCTCGATATCTTCGTATTTATTTATCAAGGTTATCAGAATTTCCCTCTCCTCGAAACTGTAGGTTTTCCGAGTACTTTTTAGCGACGAAGAAGCCATTTTAATCTGGAAAAAATGCTAAACTATTGCCGCGGTCTTCCACTGTTTGTCTCTTCCCACCAACGCAACTTAACAGCAAACTGGTTGTATGAATTTCACTTATAATTAATATCATATTAAGATATCTAGAAATATTCTTCTGTGAAATGTTCCTACAAAGAATTTTGCTTTCTTTTGTATGGTATCTACGTTAACCATTTTACTATAATCATCAATTAAATTTAACATATAATTCAATGAAAGTTACATATAACGTGTTTAGCTTTCACTTGATTGAAAAGAAAAATTGTATATTTCAAGTTAAATACCTTGACCGATATAATTCAAGTATTAAAATGACAATTCTTTGCATTTGTAATGTGTTTCACTCGTCAACAGAATGTGCTTGATATTGCTGGAAAAATTGGCGCCAGAGAAAATGAAATATAGTTCGTGAATAGTTCTAGCAGTTGGCGCCAGAGGAAAACCACTGTAATGGCAGTACGTTCAAAATACAACAAACATGTATAGGATATCGCGGAACTACGGGAGGCAGTGGATCGAGTGACACTGTGATATTTGCAGTAATTGTAAAATGAAACGGCATGTTCTATCTGATGCAATTCCTTAGCGGACTTCTTTTGCTGCTTCTCTCGATACCACTGAGCAATGGTGTGGATTACACGTATGAAATCGACTGCAGTAACCTACGAATGGGACAGTACATCTGTCCTCATCCCGATTATGATTTCATAGATCCGAAAACGCAACAGCCCAAAGGTTGTACGAAGGAAAATAAAGCCAAAGGTATATGAAGTTTTTGTTTTCAATCATAATTACATGGAAAACGGGACAAAGTTCAACCTAACCTATATTTGACAAGTACTGCAATCTTTAAAATGTTTATTTTGTAGTTATTGATTATTTTGAAGTTTCCTTTATCATTTTATTTATTGATGTAGAAGTATTTTGTTCGTTTTCGTATTTTCATAACATGTATAACCCTGCATATGCAAAAACATAAATTACATATTTCTTTGTCAGTGTTATGTTTGGCTGCAGATGGCCTCATTTGTACAGAAACAAAGAATAATACATTCAAGAAGGACATTCCCTGTAAATGGACGTAAGTATACATTTTTATAAGGTTTATAAATATGTGACAAATGTTTAGAAACATCGTAAAGATAATTATACTTGGAACTTCAATACATGAGATTGTATACCGATTAACATTTTTTCTCTTATATGTCTTTACAGAAATGGATATTCCTTTGAAACATCACTGTTACTCTCTATATTTCTTGGCATGTTTGGGGCAGATAGATTTTACCTAGGGTATCCAGCATTAGGCTTCCTAAAGCTGAGTACTTTAGGATTTCTCTTTCTTGGCCAGTTTGCTGATGTAATTCTTATAGCAACACAAGTTGTAGGACCTGCGGATGGTTCACATTATGTGATGCCATATTATGGTGCAGGAATTCATATTGTGACAAGTAATAACTTTACATACCGAGTGCCACAATATGATTGCTGAACAATATCTACACATAAGGAAAACAATGATCAGTCGAAAAAATTGTACAGCCCCTGCTTCAATCACGAGCAACGATACACAATCCTAGAATCGAGTCCTATTTCAGCATACTTGGAAGCAAATTACTGTGTACACTATTTTAATGAACAAACAGATCATCTTGTAGATATGTATTTCAACGAAACATTGTATATAAAGATTTGTTACTGACTTATTACCTATTGCCAGTATAGTCGTGTAATAAATATTTGTTTTTATTTCTAAGCATTTCTCTTTCCCCCTTAATATATTTTCCTCAATTACGCAACACTATTTACATTATTTTATCGTTTATTATATACTATCTTAGATATCGTGACGTTTCATTTTTTAAGACGTGCTTATTGATACATTTTGATCATTGATAGCATAAAATTCCTAATTAAAACAGCAACATTTAAATTTTACTTACACGTGAAAAATAATCATTTTCAAAGGATGTTCTTGATTTTACACGCATTCGTGCACTGTCGAAAATGACGTTAATCATACTTATCGCGCTTAATTATTATCAAGGCACGTTTTTTCGATATAAAAGTGCCGCTGTACGCTACCTTGACAGTCATAAAAACTTTTGGCAACAGCGAATAAGAAGGTACACGCTTACTGATCTGAATCGTGAAAGAAACTTCCATTAATGTGAAGCGTCCAGTATGAAGAATTTTATTCTACTTTTACTATTACCATTTGTAATAATCGCAGTTTGTCAGCCAGTAAAGAAACTAGTTGTAAGTTGTTGATCTTTTTTTTTTTGTATCTTCTATCGTTCCATCTTGTCGTTTTATTTATAATTCTATTAAACACACCTAACATTTTGTATATAGAGCATCCCTCAGATAATATTTACACTTTCAAACTAATATACACGCAAGTTAGACAATATATTAAATACTTTATTTCCAAATAGTAAATCTATTTCATTTTAGATAAATGCTTGTGAAAGTGTTATTTGTCTCCAGGACACAGGTGGTATAAATACAAACATTACTAGTATTGGAGAACACAGGCACCGCAGGACTTTGAAACCTATACCTCCAACTTGCAGCATTAACCAATATTTCGACGAAGATGAAGGCCGATGTTTAGGTGTAGTAGGTGGTGGCAAAGTGCTTTACATAAACAATAAAATTTCTTGCGGTACGAACACGTTAAAGCCTCACTGTACCAATCCAAGATACTACTACATCTGCAAGAAGAACAAGACCATTTTGGTGCAATGTACCCACGGCAAACACTTCGAAAATCGTCTAAAAAAATGCGTCCACGTTCCAGACGACATTTACGTATCCGTTACCGTTGATCCAAAAATGGAAACCGTCAGTTTTTTCCAACTACCTGATTGCAACAAACCGGGCTCGTTTCCAGTTCCAGGTGACTGTGCACAATTCTACACCTGTGAAACGAACGGCCATCGAATGCACCAGAATTTCTTCCGTTGTCCGAAAAATATGGCTTATGACATAGATACGGAAATGTGCACACCTTCGAATAATTGCGAAGGTTCGGAAGACTTACCATCCATGTGCGCATGGAGCACTAGCAAAGAAAAACTTACGCTAGAGGAGGCGGAAAAATGGTTAAATATTTGGCCCTTGAACGACACTAGACTTATCAATTCTGATGTGAAGATTTCGAAAAACTTTACGTTGAATGAAAATGGCAGTGTAACAATCTGCGAAACGATATTTGCAATTGAAGAAAAAAACGCCACGACTACCAATATTTACGAGACTTCTGCAACAACACAGAGTACTAACGATGTTGTAACGACGGTTGTTTCTTATATGAAACCGCCAACATCCGCATTTGTAGAAGTTAGTGATCATTCTGATGTAGCAACATCGACAAAACGTGACAAGGAAACGTCACGTTCCTCGAATACCGATGACTCTGCCTCAACTAAGGCGTACTCAGCAAGGACAGACGAGCCTACGGTCATGAAAGACATAAAATTGCCTTCAGAAGTAGGAGACGATGAATTATCATTAGAAACTACCACTTTCGGAGAACCTGTTTTAAAGGAGAAAATGACTGAACTACCAACTGTAGAAATGAGTACAAATGAAATATCGACTGATAAGTCAATTAAAGTTGGAGATGACGCAATTTTAGCTAATCAATCAATACCAAGTACCACAGAAAAAGAAATAGAAGCAATTACTAAAGCAAACATAAATGATACATTGCCAGACATTACTACTTTGGGAAAATCTATTCTGCAAGAGCAGTATAGTACAACGGAAAAAGATATTGAATCATCTTCTTCTGAAATTAGAAATATTCCTGATGATCCAACAATTGTAGCTAAGGAAGGAATGTCCAGTACCACAAAAATGGATGCACAAACTGCAGAAACAAGTACAGATTGGCCATTCTTAGAAACAACTACATTAGGAGAACCTTCTTTGGAAGGACAGTACAGCACATCTGGACCACAAAAATCTCCTGATCCATCATCTTTTATTCTTGCTGATCCAACAGTTTCTACTAATCAAGAGATACCTGACACCACAGAAAAGGAAATAGAAGGAATTACTAAAGCAAACATAAATGATACATTGCCAGATATTACTACTTTGGCAGAATCTATTCTGCAAGAGCAGTATAGTACAACGGAAAAAGATATTGAATCACCTTCTTCTGAAATTAGAAACATTCCTGATGATCCAACAATTGTAGCTAAAGAAGGAATGTCCAGTACCACAAAAAGGGATACACAAACTACAGAAACAAGTACAGATTGGCCCTTCTTAGAAACAACTACATTAGGAGAACCTCTTTTGGAAGGACAGTACAGCACATCTGGACCACAAAAATCTCCTGATCCATCATCTTTTATTCTTGCTGATCCAACAGTTTCTACTAATCAAGAGATACCTGACACCACAGAAAAGGAAATAGAAGGAATTACTAAAGCAAACATAAATGATCCATTGCCAGACATTACTACTTTGGCAGAATCTATTCTGCAAGAGCAGTATAGTACAACGGAAAAAGATATTGAATCATCTTCTTCTAAAATTAGAAATATTCCTGATGATCCAACAATTGTAGCTAAGGAAGGAATGTCCAGTACCACAAAAATGGATGTACAAACTACAGAAACAAGTACAGATTGGCCATTCTTAGAAACAACTACATTAGGAGAACCTCCTTTGGAAGGGCAGTACAGCACATCTGCAGCACAAAAATCTCCTGATCCATCATCTTTCATTCTAGCTGATCCAACAGTTTCAACTAGTAAAGAGATACCTGACACCACAGAAAAGGAAATAGAAGGAATTACTAAAGCAGACATAAATGATCCATTGCCAGACATTACTACTTTAGCAGAATCTATTCTGCAAGAGCAGTATAGTTCAACGGAAAAAGATATTGAATCATCTTCTTCTGAAATTAGAAACATTCATGATGATCCAACAATTTTTGCTAATCAATCAATATTTAGCAGCACAGACACCAATGCACAAAATACTACTACTGTGTCTACTGAAAGTGTCTCAAGTAGTACTGATGCAGCACATTATGTTGATATAATGAGTACAACTAGTTCACCAAAGAATGTTCATGAGTTTAATTCAACTTCAGTTAACATTGGACAAATGGAGAATCTTATACCCATGTTGAATAATGTGCCATTAACAAAAGCAATATTTGTAGTAAATGATATATCTAGTTCAACAATAAGTCCAAATTTAAAAACCACTAACGAAACTGTTATAGACAATGCTGTGTCTACATTAAATGTTGTGTCAACAACAGAATCAACGACCCATTCAACATTGAGCGATAGTAAAACTATTAAATCAATTTCATCAGAAAGTGAACCATTACCGATAATGAAACCAATTACTAGTCCTGGAGAATTGATAGCTAATTGTAAGACACTTTATGCAGCTAATAATTCTCTAACATCGATACAATCGGATGCTAGAAGTACAGGAAAGTCATCGAATTCCACTGACAATGAAACATATTCAAAATCGTTTGATAGGCAGCATCATTCTCATGTTACAGATAAGAACAAGACAAAAAAAGATGTTGCAGGGAAAGGTACTGAGATTGCGCCGGAAATGAAATACTCGGGAAGGACGATATCAAAACACATTGTATTACCTATAGCGTCAGCAGTATTAAATATCACTGATAAGATCGAGCGACGCTGGAGATATAGGATAAGGAACTTGTTATTGAAGCACACAAGTAAACATCTGACACGCATGTGAAACGCATGCATGAGCAAATTTTTATTGTAGTATTCATATATAAATTAATATTTTAAATTAAAAA